GAAATTGAAAAAAAACAAAACAAATGGAGGGGAAGCCTGTAGAATGTATTATATATGCAATTTTACATCATTTACATATATGTGAACATACATACTCCCAAATCAATCTATAAAAATACCATTTGCCGATGACTTTCCAATAAAAACATGTATTAGGCTAAAATATCACGATTCTACCTATTGCTCACCCAACACATACGTAGAGAAAATATAAAAAGCTTCAAAAAATAAAAGTAAATAGAACCTACAGTAGGTTTATTTTGATTAACAAAGTGAGACCGAACTTTGTCCAAACCCAATTTTATGTTTGCAACACTTTTTTGAAGAAAAATCCTATTAGTTCTCTCCTAATTTATACTTTCCTTATTTTTATTTTTCGTTTTTATCATTCGTTTTTATCATGGAAATGAAATGGAAGAATCCATCTGGAACACTTATAACGCTTCTGGTGTTGTTCAAATAAAATACTGGGGATCTTAAATTACGCAGAAAATGAGCAAAAGCAAAAAATGAAAAGTTTTAATTTTTTATGGGAAACCTGCCTTAAGAATGCAACGATCAGAGAAATGAATAGCATGAACTGTGCAACATTCTACGGCTCGGTTCCACTTGAATGCAGACTGGCTGTCGGGATCGCTTTCTGGACAAACAGTGGGAGACTTTTTTCGGACCACTACGATCGCCACTGGACACCGTAACATCAACGAGTATGACACTTCATGAACGAAACTAGAGGCAAGGAAATTGTAAAGGAAAATCGGTAAAGGATCGAAATCGAGGGTACTACTTTCGGTAGGCTCAGGCTTTCCTGCAAGAAGCAACAGGAGAACAAAGTTCTATACTGAGATTGAAAAGCTGGAGCAAATAAGGTTTTTCGGTGGTGATTATTCCGTTTCTGGGATGCGCCACCGCAATCCACTTCCATTCAGTATCTTGGTAACGTTTGAATACAAGTCTATACAATGACTTATGGTGACTAGCCGATTATCCGACCTCGGAGGAATAGAAACCTGCTTGAACTGAGCGGGTATCGGTTCGAGATTCGATCCCTCGACCGTGAATGTGCGTTATTGCTCGACTTCCCCCTACACCATAGCCTCTTTGCCTAAGAAGTAATATGAGCCGACAGATGAAAGTGGGACATTGGTTTCAGAGAAATGGAAATTCCGAATTCATGAAGTCAAGGGCCTTAGTTTCTACGAAGTATGGTCCCAAGGACATTCGCATTAGCAGGTGCACATTAAAGAGCCGCTACAGTCCTAGGGCAGAACCTACCGCAGGACTTATTCAAAAATAGAACAAAAGGAGAGGATAATTGCGGATTTGAGTAGGTGGACGACGAATGACACCAACGGTGGCACGAAGTCTGCAGGTGATCGCCGTTTNCCCGTAGTATACCTGTCAAGTCAGCCTGGACTTTTTCGATGCCTTTTAAACGGTTTTTGATGGGAGCCTCAGAGATCCCTTTCAGGGAGGTAGTCGAGAAACATTGCCGTGACATACTGCAATGACCGATAACGCTATCGACTTGACGAGCGTTTTCGTCATCCGTCACAGATGAATAAGTTTCGGAGGGCTACACCTGATATAAAGGCTATCAATTTTCTCTGCACCAACCGCTAAGTTTATCGTTCAGGCACTGTGGAAACGTGGAAACATTGCCGTGACATACACTGTTAATCGATATTAGTCATTAGGGATGGCTAGTCACTGGTTACCAATGAAAGGGGCACATAGAAGGGTTGTTTCGTTCAATAAAGGTATTATTAGTTTATCTGGAATCGTGTATAGTTTTTAAGGACCCACCCATCAGAACAGGAATTGGCGTTCGGGACACATTTTCGCTGGAAGCCTTGTAAATACTCGACTGTTCCCATGGGATCGATGCAGCTATCCCGAGTAACGGCTGCTATCGCTAAATAAGCAATGAGTAGAAAAATTAGTGGAAATTTTAAGAATCCAACCTATACTTCAGGACTGGAGAACCCCAAATCGTTATATTTCAACCATTTCCCCTACACTTTGGGAGTGCGCCCCATTAGATTTAATCTAATGCAATATACAGAGGAAGTGTTGAAAATTTATACTTACAAATGTACAATTATATGGAACCGGGTTCTAATAAATTAGGCAATATAAATGAGTATTGTATGTGTAAATAAGGTGTCACGGGGTTTTACTGACTCGGTACACAGCAAACGAATTGTTGTTGAACGCCAGTCGAACGCAAGCACGACGAGAATCCTGGGCACGACGAACTTTGGAAT